CAGTGATGCTGGCTCTATCTAAGTAGAACAGGGATCCTCACCCTCTAGGAAAAAGTCCATAGACATTAAGAATGAAGAAAAACAGAGACACCCGAGTAGAGGAGGTTTCTGGTTGTTCGGCTGATGTCGAGGAACACTAGCCCCTCTTCCTCCCTCTTCATTCCCTACCTTGACCCTTTCACCCTACCCGCTGATATTTCCTCAACCCCCTCACCTATCCCTCATTCCTTTCCCTCAACCCCCCCAACCCCCTTTTCCCATTCTGTTACCAACCTTTCACATTTCTAATGATCCCAACCCTAACCCTCCTTCAATTTCTAATTTAAAAAAAAAAAATTGAAGGAGATATTTTGAAAAAAAAGAAAAAAAAGAAAAAGAAAAAGAAAAAAAAAGAAAAAGAAAAAGAAAAAAAAAGAAAAAAAAAAGCAAATATATATATTTTAAAATGTATAAAGAATATACATTGGAAAAAAAATAAATATTAAAATAATAAATAAACATATTTATATTTTTATATTTAAAAAAATCTAAATATTAAAATACAATAAAAAAATGTTCCCCTCCTCGAGCCACCACCTTACCATGGTGGAGGGGTTTGCGTGTCCCAGTTATCCCAGGAGCTAAGTTGTCGGGTGCTTTATGCCTCTGGTAGGGTCAACCAAGGCAAACAGATCCTGGAAGAGGGATCAGACTAAGGGTGGCTCAAATAGACCTTTTATGATGGGTAGTAGATTTACTATATACTGAGTTTTACTCACCCCCCGCATTACACTCATCAAAGTGACGCAAAGCAATACAAGTGTTGACAATACAATACAATACACACAAGTGTCGCAATACCATATTTGTATCGTATTGTATCCTATTGTGTAGTATAATATCGTATCATATTGTATAGTATCATATCATATAGTATTGTATCGTATTGCATCGTATCGTATAGTATGGTATTGTACCATATCATATCATATCATATCATGTCATATCATGTCATATAGTATCATATTGTTCCATATTATATCATATCAAGTCAGAACACATTCTCCTCGTTAGTATAGTGGTGAGTATCCCCGCCTGTCTCGCGGGAGACCGGGGTTCGATTCCCCGACGGGGAGTGGAAATCGAAACGGAAAGTGTCCGTCTTCTCGCTGGGTGAACCCCCTCCAAGAACAGCACCCTCTGGTGATGGGCTGCAGTATAGGTCATAAATCCCTGTCAGCCATCCTTAAGAAGCTGAGGACAAATTTTAAAAATTAATCACACAGAACAGGTTTTTTCCCCTTGCTTGCGATGTTGACATGTAGTTACTGTAAGACTGTTTTGTGCTCAAGTCCTCTTTTTTCTGTACAGCTCCGTTTTTTAAAGTTATTAGGGGGTTCATGTTTCCTATGATTGACACTTGATACAGCCTGTGGGCGTACGGAAATTTGCATAGCTCACCCGGGGAATGTGCTGTTTGAGTTGGGCATCATCACAGCGACTCTCGGTGACTCTCCCGCAGAATGCGTACAACACTACTGTGCAATGTTGGTTTCAGGACGTGGAGAAAAACGCACAATTACCGAGAGCTTTTCAGATTTAAATCTGTATACTGGCAGAAGGCAGAACCAAGTTGTCCATAGTATATACAGTCTGTGGTCAGAACTCTGAGGAGCACAGAGAGAATCTGTCACTAAAACAGAGGATAAGACAATGATTCAGCACTCTGCACTGGAGCTCAAGGACGTGTATCACCTTCCCAAACCCGACTTCACTTAAGCCAATCAGGTACTAAGACACCATGTGCTGCTCTGGACTGATTTCCTCCTACAACTCAAAGAATGACCAGAGTGAACTGCCTTTCACACCAGATGGTGATCATGCAGTCCACACCCTGGCTCTCATATGCACCAGTTTCTGCAAGATGGAGAAAGGGGAATTCCCCTCAGAAGGCAGGTGCTTCTGGGGGAATTCCCCACTGAGGGGGTGTGACATCACAATGACATGTAGAATGTGATGTCACACGATGACATCACGTTCTAGCTCTGATCCTTTGATCTTCAAAAGCTAACTCAGACCTCGCACACTTGTTGGCAAGAGTCACGTAGGAGCTACTACAGAGACGATCAACAGTTAAGAGCAGTCGACTGAAGACTAATCAGAAGAACCATGTCCAGAGCAATCGCACCTGAATCTGTGGGACCGATGGGCTGCCGGCCCATGGCACCACTTCAACAGGAGCTTGACAGTGCTCGCGCTGAGATTATAAATCTTAGAAACGAGCAAAGTGGTGAACAGGAGGCATGGCTGCGTGAGAGGGTAAAGCTGGGCTACAGAATTCACAACGGGAAGTACAAAGTGAACCGTCTGGAGGGACTCATTGACGTCAGAGAAAATGGATTCAAGGAAGAACTCCAGAATAATGTCCAGACTATTGAAAGGCTGGAGGCTGAGATCCAACGCCTCAACAGCAGCCTCAAATTAAAAGACGAGCAGGTGGAGCTTATCCAGCGCCTGCAGAAGGAGCAGGAAGAGAAGATGTGGGCTCAACTTAAGGAGGAGAGACAGAAAGTTCATGAGCTCCGAGAACAGCTTTTTCAGGCGTCTCAGGAGAACCTGAAGGCTGTCTCTCTGAGCAAGAACAATGAAACAATGTTGAGGCTCACAAAACAGCAGCTTGAGCAGAGGGACGACCACATCATGGAGCTGAGGAGGGAGAAAGAGGGTCTCACTCAAAGACTCATTGAGACCACAACTCAGCTGCAAAACAACGAGACCCTCCAGAAGAAAAAAAGGAAAGACCTGGAGGAGGAGAACCAGATCCTGAAGACCAGAGTCAGTGAGCTGGAGAAAAGGAATAAAGATCTGGTGGGAAAGGAGGAGACTCTGACCTTCAGAGTTGAAGAGGCTGAGATGGCAAAAGAAAGAGTGATTGAGAAGGAAAAGACTCTGACAGACAGAATTCAAGAGTTAGAGGAGGAGAAGAGGGAGCTGACTCTTCTCGTCTCTCTAAAGAAAAGACGCTTCCTTTCCAGAGTCTTTAAAAAGGAGACAGAGGAGGAGAAAACCCTCCGAAAACAACTCAAAGAGAAGAAGAAGGAATTAAGGCAGCTGAGAGAAAGAGAAAAAGAGGAGGAAAGGAGGAATATACACTGAAAAAAAATAAATGTGTATTTTTAAATAAAAAATAAAAAATAAATAAAAAAAATAAATGTATATTTTTATATAAAAAAATAAAAAAATAAAGATATATTTTTATATAAAAAATAAAAAAATAAATAAAGATATATTTTTATATAAAAAATAAAAAAATATATATTTTTATATAAAAAATAAATAAAGATATATTTTTATATATATAAAAAAATTAATATATATTTTTATACAAAAAAAATAATAATAAAAAAAATAAAAATATAAAAATATAATCACAAATTTTTCCCCTCCTCGAGCCACCATCATACCGTGGCGGAGGGGTTTGCGTGTCCCAGTTATCCCAGGAGCTAAGTTGTCGGGTGCTTTATGCCTCTGGTAGGGTCAACCAAGGCAAACAGATCCTGGGAGAGGGATCAGACTAAGGGTGGCTCAAATAGACCTTTTATGATGGGTAGTAGATTTACTATATACTGAGTTTTACTCACCCCCCGCATTACACTCATCAAAGTGACGCAAAGCAATACAAGTGTTCGTTATTGAGTTTTACATTCTGTCTGCTCTCTGATTTGGTTTTTCTAAGCAGGCATGGGATACATTTGTCGCTGTAAAAGGCCATTGATAAGGCTTTTCAAGATGTCAACTACATATGGTTAGCTAAACACTGTCGCAATACCATATTGTATCGTATTGTATCCTATTGTGTAGTATCATATCGTATCATATTGTTCCATATTATATCATATCATGTCAGAACACATTCTCCTCGTTAGTATAGTGGTGAGTATCCCCGCCTGTTAGGCGGGAGACTGGGGTTCGATTCCACGACGGGGAGTGGAAATCAAAACAGAAATTGTCCGTCTTCTCGCTGGGTGAACCCACTCTGAGAACAGCACCCTCTGGTGATGGGCTGCAGTATAGGTCATAAATCCCTGTCAGCCGTCCTTAAGAAGCTGAGGACAAATTTTAAAAATTAATCACACAGAACAGGTTTTTTCCCCTTGCTTGCGATGTTGACATGTAGTTACTGTAAGACTGTTTTGTGCTCAAGTCCTCTTTTTTTCTGTACAGCTCCGTTTTTTAAAGTTATTAGGGGGTTCATGTTTCCTATGATTGACACTTGATACAGCCTGTGGGCGTACGGAGATTGCATAGCTCACCCGGGGAATGTGCTGTTTGAGTTGGGCATCATCACAGCGACTCTCGGTGACTCTCCCGCAGAATGCGTACAACACTACTGTGCAATGTTGGTTTCAGGACGTGGAGAAAAACGCACAATTACCGAGAGCTTTTCAGATTTAAATCTGTATACTGGCAGAAGGCAGAACCAAGTTGTCCATAGTATATACAGTCTGTGGTCAGAACTCTGAGGAGCACAGAGAGAATCTGTCACTAAAACAGAGGATAAGACAATGATTCAGCACTCTGCACTGGAGCTCAAGGACGTGTATCACCTTCCCAAACCCGACTTCACTTAAGCCAATCAGGTACTAAGACACCATGTGCTGCTCTGGACTGATTTCCTCCTACAACTCAAAGAATGACCAGAGTGAACTGCCTTTCACACCAGATGGTGATCATGCAGTCCACACCCTGGCTCTCATATGCACCAGTTTCTGCAAGATGGAGAAAGGGGAATTCCCCTCAGAAGGCAGGTGCTTCTGGGGGAATTCCCCACTGAGGGGGTGTGACATCACAATGACATGTAGAATGTGATGTCACACGATGACATCACGTTCTAGCTCTGATCCTTTGATCTTCAAAAGCTAACTCAGACCTCGCACACTTGTTGGCAAGAGTCACATAGGAGCTACTACAGAGACGATCAACAGTTAAGAGCAGTCGACTGAAGACTAATCAGAAGAACCATGTCCAGAGCAATCGCACCTGAATCTGTGGGACCGATGGGCTGCCGGCCCATGGCACCACTTCAACAGGAGCTTGACAGTGCTCGCGCTGAGATTATAAATCTTAGAAACGAGCAAAGTGGTGAACAGGAGGCATGGCTGCGTGAGAGGGTAAAGCTGGGCTACAGAATTCACAACGGGAAGTACAAAGTGAACCGTCTGGAGGGACTCATTGACGTCAGAGAAAATGGATTCAAGGAAGAACTCCAGAATAATGTCCAGACTATTGAAAGGCTGGAGGCTGAGATCCAACGCCTCAACAGCAGCCTCAAATTAAAAGACGAGCAGGTGGAGCTTATCCAGCGCCTGCAGAAGGAGCAGGAAGAGAAGATGTGGGCTCAACTTAAGGAGGAGAGACAGAAAGTTCATGAGCTCCGAGAACAGCTTTTTCAGGCGTCTCAGGAGAACCTGAAGGCTGTCTCTCTGAGCAAGAACAATGAAACAATGTTGAGGCTCACAAAACAGCAGCTTGAGCAGAGGGACGACCACATCATGGAGCTGAGGAGGGAGAAAGAGGGTCTCACTCAAAGACTCATTGAGACCACAACTCAGCTGCAAAACAACGAGACCCTCCAGAAGAAAAAAGGAAAGACCTGGAGGAGGAGAACCAGATCCTGAAGACCAGAGTCAGTGAGCTGGAGAAAAGGAATAAAGATCTGGTGGGAAAGGAGGAGACTCTGACCTTCAGAGTTGAAGAGGCTGAGATGGCAAAAGAAAGAGTGATTGAGAAGGAAAAGACTCTGACAGACAGAATTCAAGAGTTAGAGGAGGAGAAGAGGGAGCTGACTCTTCTCGTCTCTCTAAAGAAAAGACGCTTCCTTTCCAGAGTCTTTAAAAAGGAGACAGAGGAGGAGAAAACCCTCCGAAAACAACTCAAAGAGAAGAAGAAGGAATTAAGGCAGCTGAGAGAAAGAGAAAAAGAGGAGGAAAGGAGGAATATACATTGAAAAAAAATAAATGTGTATTTTTAAATAAAAAATAAAAAAAAATAAAAAAAATAAATGTATATTTTTATATAAAAAAAAAAAATAATAAAGATATATTTTTATATAAAAAATAAAAAAATAAATAGATATATTTTTATATAAAAAATAAAAAATAAATAAATATATAGTTTTATATAAAGAATAAATAAAGATATATTTTTATATATAAAAAAATTAATATATATTTTTATACAAAAAAAAATAATAAAAAAAATAAAAATATAAAAATATAATCACAAATTTTTCCCCTCCTCGAGCCACCACCATACCGTGGCGGAGGGGTTTGCGTGTCCCAGTTATCCCAGGAGCTAAGTTGTCGGGTGCTTTATGCCTCTGGTAGGGTCAATTAAGGCAAACAGATCCTGGGAGAGGGATCAGACTAAGGGTGGCTCAAATAGACCTTTTATGATGGGTAGTAGATTTACTATATACTGAGTTTTACTCACTGCCCGCATTACACTCATCAAAGTGACGCAAAGCAATACAAGTGTTCGTTATTGAGTTTTACATTCTGTCTGCTCTCTGATTTGGTTTTTCTAAGCAGGCATGGGATACATTTGTCGCTGTAAAAGGCCATTGATAAGGCTTTTCAAGATGTCAATTACATATGGTTAGCTACACACTGTCGCAGTACCATATTGTATCGTATTGTATCCTATTGTGTAGTATCATATCGTATCATATTGTTCCATATTATATCATATCATGTCAGAATACATTCTCCTCGTTAGTATAGTGGTGAGTATCCCGGCCTGTTAGGCGGGAGACCGGGGTTCGATTCCACGACGGGGAGTGGAAATCAAAACAGAAAGTGTCCGTCTTCTCGCTGGGTGAACCCACTCTGAGAACAGCACCCTCTGGTGATGGGCTGCAGTATAGGTCATAAATCCCTGTCAGCCATCCTTAAGAAGCTGAGGACAAATTTTAAAAATTAATCACACAGAACAGGTTTTTTCCCCTTGCTTGCGATGTTGACATGTAGTTACTGTAAGACTGTTTTGTGCTCAAGTCCTCTTTTTTCTGTACAGCTCCGTTTTTTAAAGTTATTAGGGGGTTCATGTTTCCTATGATTGACACTTGATACAGCCTGTGGGCGTACGGAGATTGCATAGCTCACCCGGGGAATGTGCTGTTTGAGTTGGGCATCATCACAGCGACTCTCGGTGACTCTCCCGCAGAATGCGTACAACACTACTGTGCAATGTTGGTTTCAGGACGTGGAGAAAAACGCACAATTACCGAGAGCTTTTCAGATTTAAATCTGTATACTGGCAGAAGGCAGAACCAAGTTGTCCATAGTATATACAGTCTGTGGTCAGAACTCTGAGGAGCACAGAGAGAATCTGTCACTAAAACAGAGGATAAGACAATGATTCAGCACTCTGCACTGGAGCTCAAGGACGTGTATCACCTTCCCAAACCCGACTTCACTTAAGCCAATCAGGTACTAAGACACCATGTGCTGCTCTGGACTGATTTCCTCCTACAACTCAAAGAATGACCAGAGTGAACTGCCTTTCACACCAGATGGTGATCATGCAGTCCACACCCTGGCTCTCATATGCACCAGTTTCTGCAAGATGGAGAAAGGGGAATTCCCCTCAGAAGGCAGGTGCTTCTGGGGGAATTCCCCACTGAGGGGGTGTGACATCACAATGACATGTAGAATGTGATGTCACACGATGACATCACGTTCTAGCTCTGATCCTTTGATCTTCAAAAGCTAACTCAGACCTCGCACACTTGTTGGCAAGAGTCGCGTAGGAGCTACTACAGAGACGATCAACAGTTACGAGCAGTCGACTGAAGACTAATCAGAAGAACCATGTCCAGAGCAATCGCACCTGAATCTGTGGGACCGATGGGCTGCCGGCCCATGGCACCACTTCAACAGGAGCTTGACAGTGCTCGCGCTGAGATTATAAATCTTAGAAACGAGCAAAGTGGTGAACAGGAGGCATGGCTGCGTGAGAGGGTAAAGCTGGGCTACAGAATTCACAACGGGAAGTACAAAGTGAACCGTCTGGAGGGACTCATTGACGTCAGAGAAAATGGATTCAAGGAAGAACTCCAGAATAATGTCCAGACTATTGAAAGGCTGGAGGCTGAGATCCAACGCCTCAACAGCAGCCTCAAATTAAAAGACGAGCAGGTGGAGCTTATCCAGCACCTGCAGAAGGAGCAGGAGGAGAAGATGTGGGCTCAACTTAAGGAGGAGAGACAGAAAGTTCATGAGCTCCGAGAACAGCTTTTTCAGGCGTCTCAGGAGAACCTGAAGGCTGTCTCTCTGAGCAAGAACAATGAAACAATGTTGAGGCTCACAAAACAGCAGCTTGAGCAGAGGGACAACCACATCATGGAGCTGAGGAGGGAGAAAGAGGGTCTCACTCAAAGACTCATTGAGACCACAACTCAGCTGCAAAACAACGAGACCCTCCAGAAGAAAAAAAGGAAAGACCTGGAGGAGGAGAACCAGATCCTGAAGACCAGAGTCAGTGAGCTGGAGAAAAGGAATAAAGATCTGGTGGGAAAGGAGGAGACTCTGACCTTCAGAGTTGAAGAGGCTGAGATGGCAAAAGAAAGAGTGATTGAGAAGGAAAAGACTCTGACAGACAGAATTCAAGAGTTAGAGGAGGAGAAGAGGGAGCTGACTCTTCTCGTCTCTCTAAAGAAAAGACGCTTCCTTTCCAGAGTCTTTAAAAAGGAGACAGAGGAGGAGAAAACCCTCCGAAAACAACTCAAAGAGAAGAAGAAGGAATTAAGGCAGCTGAGAGAAAGAGAAAAAGAGGAGGAAAGGAGGAATATACATTGAAAAAAAATAAATGTGTATTTTTAAATAAAAAATTTAAAAAAATTTAAAAAAATAAATGTATATTTTTATATAAAAAAATAAAAAAATAAAGATATATTTTTATATAAAAAATAAAACAATAAATAAAGATATATTTTTATATAAAAAATAAAAAAATAAAAAATATATAGTTTTATATAAAAAAATAAATAAAGATATATTTTTATATATAAAAAAAATTAATATATATTTTTATACAAAAAATAATAATAAAAAAAATAAAAATATAAAAATATAATCACAAATTTTTCCCCTCCTCGAGCCACCACCATACCGTGGCGGAGGGGTTTGCGTGTCCCAGTTATCCCAGGAGCTAAGTTGTCGGGTGCTTTATGCCTCTGGTAGGGTCAACCAAGGCAAACAGATCCTGGGAGAGGGATCAGACTAAGGGTGGCTCAAATAGACCTTTTATGATGGGTAGTAGATTTACTATATACTGAGTTTTACTCACTGCCCGCATTACACTCATCAAAGTGACGCAAAGCAATACAAGTGTTCGTTATTGAGTTTTACATTCTGTCTGCTCTCTGATTTGGTTTTTCTAAGCAGGCATGGGATACATTTGTCGCTGTAAAAGGCCATTGATAAGGCTTTTCAAGATGTCAATTACATATGGTTAGCTAAACACTGTCGCAATACCATATTGTATCGTATTGTATCCTATTGTGTAGTATCATATCGTATCATATTGAACAGTATCATATCATATAGTATTGTATCTTATTGCATCGTTTGGTACAGTATGTTATTGTACCATATTGTATCATATCATATCATATCATATCATATTGTTCCATATTGTATCAAATCATCTCCTAACACATTCTCCTCGTTAGTATAGTGGTGAGTATCCCCGCCTGTCACGCGGGAGACCAGGGCTCGATTCCCTGACGGGGAGTGGAAATCAGAATGGGAAATGTCTGTCTTCTCACAGGGTGAAGCGATATATCCCGCCTCTGCCAGCCATCCTTATGAGGCTAACCAAAGTGAACTGCCTCTATAACTACATCTATCTATCTAAACACAATTGTCATTGGTCATAGTTCTGTATAATTTTGACAAAAAGAAGACGACAAAAAAAATATAAGGTTTGGGATTATTTTATATTAAAATTAAAATGACAATATTATTAATTATTATTATTATTATTATTATTACTACTATAATAATATTATAACTACCCACTGGGCTTGGGGTACAAATGACCCCACATCTAGTTTGTCAATAACATCCAACCTGGCCTGTATGTGTGTGAGTCTAGCCTGACTGCCTGCCTGCCTGCTTGGGTGTGCGTGTGTGTGCGTGTGTGTGTGTGCGCGTGTGTATATATTTCCACATTGGGGACAGTGTGACCCATGAGACGTGGGATGCAGGTTTACTGTGTGAGGACTACAGGACCTTTCACTGGGTCAAAAAGACCCCAGTCAGTGTGACCCCTGAGACTTGGGATGCAGGTTTACTGTGTGAGGAATACAGGAGTGTGAAAAAAATTGCCATTATTTCCTTACAGTGTGGACTGGGACAGTGTGACTCCTGAGACTTGGGATGTAGGTCTTAACTTGAGGACAACAGGAGGGTTAAAATGTGGATAACTGACCCACCTAACATTTATTCTGAGAGTGCAAGGATTGAACTGGATTAGCATGAGCCGACGGTGTTCTTTTCAAAGTTGCTGGAGAGCATGGATGGACTGAGAACTCCTCACTAGAAAAATCTCGCCTAATTTTTATGACTTTGATCACAGCTGTAAGCTTCAGCACTAAGGCGGTTGAGCTTAGTTT